ATTTTCTCATTTATTCTTATCAATCTATGTTATTCTCTTTTGCATCACTTTGCAGCTGTTGGATTGATTAGCCATGGTCCCTTGCTAATTTTGAAGAAATCTTTATTTTCATGGTTTCTAACCTCAGATCTGTCTTCTAGATCTGATATTTTGTCCTCACATTGATTCTGTTGAGTATACCTTCAAAAAAAATTTAATCTCTTGCATATCTGTAGGCATTCATTATTTCTATCATTTTCTTGACTTCCTCTATTTTTTAATCTGTAGATATCTACTCTAGATTCACTAACCATGTCCTTTATTATAGCCATCATCTCTTTAGCTACGTGAGAAATTATTTCTTGATTTGTTTATTGCTACAACCTCATTCATCTGCTTTGTTACTTCTGCTGTTACCATTTCAGAAAGTTCAAGTAGATGGATTTTTATTTCTTCCAACTCACCACCTGTTGGGATTGCTTTGGGGGAGCTTGAGGTCTGAGGTTCCATCATGCTTCCATGTGTTCTCATTTTCTATTTTAGTTTAGTTTAGTTTCTGCATTAATGCTTGTATATTGCATATGGTAGGTATGTTTATTACTAGTATTGAAAACTCCTTAGGAAATACCTACTTTTGAAAGGTATTTTCTAGATATAGTTGACTTCTGAGTTTGTGGCAAGGTCCTACCTCTTTATTTTATTAAAGGTGGGAAGTTGCTACCTTTCTGACCTAGTCCCTGGTTCTTTGGTGCTGGTCTATAGTATTGTCTATGATCATCAGACAATCTTGGTCTTGCATACAACTGATTAAAACATCCATGTCCCCTTTGCTATGATAGTACAAGATTAAGAAAAATAGCATCAAAAACAGCCTAGAAAATGAGTAGTAACCGCTAATTTGCCAGCTTTAATTATAGTAACAAGGTTTGTAGTTATATATGAAAATCTAAAACAAACCAGAAAAGTACATACAATACACATAGCCTCAATAGTGTGATTTTACCTTCAAGGGAGAAAATCTAAAAGGGGTCAGAGAAAAAAATAGAGAAATAGGAAGAAAAAAAGAGATTAGAAGTAAGGCCAAAAGACAAATGAAGATTATGCAAGTTTTTGGAAACTGGTGAACAAGACAGGAAGGAAAGAAGAAAGATACAAAAATAAGAACAGAACCAAAAAAAAAAGCCCTAAAAACAATGTTCATACTCATAAAAATAGGAATGAAAGCTCAAGAAAAAAAAGAGAAAATGAGGAAAGAAAGAAAAAAAGCATCCACTTCCAGGAGTGTCTCTGCTCTCACTACCAATCAAAGAGTGCATAGAGAACCCAGATCTGTGCTGTTTGGTCACAGCAAGCCTTCGGGAGAATATAGCAGGGTGGTAGGTGATCACAGCAAATCTGTGCTTTTGGCTCCACTGAACTTCAGGTTGATTGTGTTTTCTGGCTGTAAGCCTGGGACCCAGTTGTTTAGCCCACAACACTCTGGACATCTCTTACCACCTTGAAGTTGGCTGTGTGCATGGGATGTCTCCTGTGGTAGCAGGAGTCCCATTAGGACACCAGAAGTCCCAAGATGGACCCAACCTATGGCTCCTCAGGTACAGATTGCCCCTTTCTGAAACATCTACTGGCAAGTTGTCCTCTCCTGCAAACATGTGGATTGGACTCACTCATCAGCTGCTGCAGCTCACAGCATCCACTGCTCTGTTCCCTTTGTGCGTTTCCCTGTGAAGGCCTCTGGAGACACCAGTACCCACTACGCCCTTTAGGTTCAAGCGATCTTTCTCACACTGTGAGCCAGGATTCAGGTAGAAAGCACCATTTGCTACCTCCTCTTCTGCATTGAGGTCTTAATTTTGTTTTCCCTGTGGGATCCCATTTTTGCTTCAGATTCTTGAGCATCATGGGGACCCACTTGTCTCCTTCCTCTGTTTCCCACATTGTTATATTTCAGTGTGTGGACACTGAATCTCAGAAAGGCCAATTTGCTGCTGCTCTTCACTCCACCGTCTTCTCAGAAGCCCTTCTTGTCACTGTCTGAAACAGTCCTGCAACTCCTCTTCTGAATCTTTATGAGGTTTATCATATATATATATATATATATATATATATATATATATATATACACATATGTATAAAATGCTGCTGCCAAGTGCTATCTACTAGAATAACAGGCTTGAAGAAGCACTATTGGTCATCTTCATCCACTTTATTCACCAGATCTGGTAATTTGTGACTTCTGCCTCTTTCCTAAAGGTAAAAGAATCATGAAGGGTAAATGTCTTGAATTGATTCAGGACTTCGAGGGAACCACAACAGTGCAAATAGACATTTGTGAAACAAAACTTCCAAAACACCTTCAGAAAATGACAAGAGTGATAGAATAAATGTGCTCAAAGCAAGAGTACTTTGAGGAGTATTAATAGCATTGTGTGTCGTTACTGCTGTGAAAGGAAGAGAAGAGAAACTGAACTGCCTTTGGAAGAAGTAGAACCGCACTGCAAGCCTTGCAAAACTTCCATCAACTCACTGAAGAGCCTTGGGAATGTCTCTAGTTAGTCATAAACTGCACGTCAAAGTGGCCAGGAGTTAATACACCTGCCTCACCACACACTGACCGTGGGCCACTCAGAAAAGGCTCCATCTCAGGGGAGCAGGCTCTCCACAGTTGAGGCTGACCCTTTTAACACTGACAGCTGGAAACTGCTGTCTGCACCTCCTCTAACTAGACAGCAAGCCTGCCTCTAAAGATGGACCTAGAACATGGAACTCCATGTCTGCAGCAGCAGAATAGATAAAATGTTATGCAAAATATCATAACCCAGACCACATGACAGAACTTGGATCTTTGACTGCGTCAGTGCGAGTATAGAAGAAGCAAACTAAGCACAGGGTATCTGGGCTCAGATTCATCTCCAGTGACTTCATGGAAAAGCAATTCCCAATACTAATATGAGTAGGCATAAAGAAAGCTAAGTGGCAGCTAATTCTTTGACATATATCTCATCAAGAACTAAAGTCTCTTTTCTTATTCCTGAATCTGGGCTCCCCTCCGAGTGTTTTGAGAGTGTCGTGGAGGTTAGATGGGATTTCAATTTGATCAACTTTGGAGTCTATACTGTGAATTAGTTGAATACACTTCTGGGTGCATCTAGGTGGTTCATGGAGATGTGGCCTTAGGGTTCAGGTCTATGTCGATACCTCTCCCCTTCCACTCTGGCTGTCGCCTTACTCTGCTTCCTGCCTGCTATAGGGTGACCAGCTTTCCCCTAAAAGGCCACTCCTGACACCACCTCTGCCTGAGAGCCAGCCAACCGTGGACTGAAATCCTCTGCATCTGTGAGCCAAATAAACTTGTCCTTTAAGTTATGAGTGTTGGGTATTCTGTCTCAGCAGCAGGAAGGTGACCAATAAAGCTATATTTCCAAGCACAGCCTTCAGGAGTGCTTGTTGTCAAATAAGCCCAACTTGCTGGAGAGACCACACAGAGGAACAATGAGGCTGCTTGGAGAAGGCCTGGAGAATGGGTGCAGTGAAACAGGTAAATAAGAAAGTTGAGGGTTTTGAGATCGTATCTAAAGAGTAAATCAGGGCCTCAAAGAGTGTCAGTAAAAGAACACTGAGCGTCTGCTATGTGCTAAGTATAATTCCCAACAACTCAGTGTCTCTGAGAGTAAGAATAGTGAGAAAAAATAAAATTGAGTCTATTTAAGAGAAGGGGAAACAATATGCTTTTCTGCATTACCCAAGGGACCGAGAGTTATGTATCCATTGCCATTGAAAGTAAGGGGAGAGCATTTTCTAATTACTGAAACACCGTGTAAATGAAACGTATGAAGGGTCCTGTTTAGTTTCAACAGTAATCTGTTCTCTTAAATACATTATATTCAAAAGATTCTGAAAAACTTTAAGTGGCCCAGACCCTGTATAGAAAACCCAACCTCCGACCACCGATGCAGAATCAGATAAGCAAGTTACTTCTTTGTAGTTATTTATCCCTGCAATGATGCACTCAGGCAGTGGACACTCCCTGGATACCCCGCGATGTAGTACTATGTTTATGAGTTTGTGTGTCAGTCTCTTACTCTTACTCTGTGCTCAGTAAGAGTAAGAATCTTGCATGATTCACCCATATTTTCCCTTTATATCTAACATATACTAGCTAATATGTATTTCATAACTAAATTTAAGTATACACTTAACAAAAATAAGTTTTCTAGAAGTACATAACCAGTATTAAGTAGGTATTTTTTATAAAAAGGATGAATAAGAGAATGAATAAATGAAGGTGAGAATGTGTGAATATATGTAAATAAATAAATGTGTAGATGAAACTCAAGTGAGCTCCTGTCTCAGGCTCTCAGGTTTGTTTTTCCTCCTCTCTGGAATGGTTTTACCCCAAATCATTACATGACATGTTTCCTCAACACTCTCTTTAGGTCTCTGCTCAAAGTTCTCACCAGTGTGACATCTATTAGTGTCTCCATATAAATAGCAACTACCCTGCCAACCAGCACCTCTGTGCCCTTGCTTCTCTGTTTCATTATTTGCACGGTGCTGACCACCACCTGATACATATATGCAGATATGCATGTAAATGAATTAACAAATATGCAAATATGTATGTATATGCATATTTGCTAATTCATTTACATTTATTTATCTCCCCTGCCAAAATATCTACTCCATGAGAGCTAGAACTTTTTCTATTCACATCCTGTTGCATCCCCAGTTCTGTAAGTGGTCAATTAATATTTGTTGAATGAATGAACTCAATTAATATCTATTAAGCCCAAGTACAGAAAGCAGATCCCTGCTTAACCATTCTCTTTTTATGCCTGAGAAACCAAATAATTTTGTCAATCATTTAAATGATCCTGTGTTGTAGAAGTGTAACCCTATGAGAAAGACAGTGAGGTTGCCTTTCCACTTCCCTTTCTTTCTCTCTTGTCTTTGTGTGCATGTGCACACCCATCGGGGTTTGCTTAGGATGATATGTTACTACTTTTCTTGTCTGCAGCAGATGAAGAGAAAATCCAGCTGTGCGTTTCCGTCAGTGAATTCCAAGGTCACCGGCAAGATTTCCACCTACCAGGAGGAAAACATGGTGACTCCGCCTCCATGTCTCCTTTCTTCCTCCTTGCCAGTTGATTTTGCTATCAGTTTGCAAGGTAAGTGAAATATTGTCTCAGCCCTTGTGATACTGGAAAAGGGAAAAAAAGAAACTCTGAAGGGTAATGTATACTTCAAGGCAAGACATAAGAGATGTAAACAGGCCCCCTCTAGCTTTCCCGCCCACTACAGCTAGCTCATAATCAAAAACTTCACTTTAAAAAGGCTATTCATTCTTTTATACAGGTATTTTTGTTGTAGATATAATTAGCTTGATAAAATATTCCTTGAAAGATTACATAGAAATGTAATGCTATAATGCTATTCATTTCTAAAGAATTTTATCTTTATGATAATATTACCTACACTGGCAACCAGTCTTGTTCCCCAGTCTCCTATGTCTCTAATTACTTGAAGAAACTTCTTAACATTGTGATATTTAAGTGCAGGGCCTATGTGACTAGGATGTTAATAGACTTTAATGCATAACCTTTGGAATTAAAATAAACTATAAGCTCCTGAGCTCACAGCCAAATCTGAAATATTAATAACAACTTCTATGACTTCATATTTCATACCCATCACTATTACACTCTGTGCTAAGAATAAGTCAGATATTTATTTCCCCAAGATTAATAGGTGATGGGGCTTGAAGACTCCAAAAAGATCAAATGCTTTAGTGTCTCAGGGAAAAAGATGGGACAGCCAAATCAAAAGCTCTGGCTGTAAGACTTCCTTCCTGTACCTGCTCTAAACATCACAGAAAATATAAGATAGTGCCTTAAATTTAAGACTGCAGGTCAGACAAAAATTTGATCTCCAAGTCAGTAACAAGCCACATAAGGAAACTTGGAATTTGTGCCTGTAGGAATCCAGTCTAGGTCAGTGACAAGCAGGAAAAATCTTGAATCCTAGACTAAACAGAGGGAAACAGAAGGGGCCAGCAAGCCTCCCATAGCAGCCTGATTTCAGTCTGGCCAAGCATTTATGCTGCAGCCCTGATGGATTCAGCAATAAATCATTGCTTCCCTTCTTAAATTCCTTTTGTTGCAATGAGGAGTGTTATTTACTTTATGATTAATAGTTCCCTGAAAATATCCACATAGGTGCATTTCTCTGCCTCTCTCCCCACTCATATTTCCCTTTTCATATTCTCTCTCTGTCTCTCTCTGTCTCTGTCTCTCTCTGTCTCTCTCTCTCTCTCTCTCTCTCTGTCTCTCTCTCTCTCTGTCTCTCACTCTCTCTCTCTCTCTCTCTCTCTCCTTCCTTCCCTCCCTCCCTCTCTCTCCCTCTGTATCATAGGCCTTTAAATCCTCAGTCTCCCTTGGAGTGTCAATTTTTTACAAATTCATATCTTAAAATGATACAAATTTATTATCACTCATTTTCTGTAGGTCAGAGGTCTGGACATGGCCTGGCTGGACACTCTGCTCAGGGCAACATCAAGCTATAATCAGAGGCCAGCTGGGATTGTAGTTCTCTTCTGGCTCCCCTTCCAAGCAAGCTCACTGGCTGTTGCCAGGTTTTTGACCCTGATGCCATGGAATGGCAGATGCCTACCTTCCTGCTAACTATTGGTCAGGGCTGATTCTCAATGCCCAGAGGCTGTCCCCAGTCCCTTACCATGGGAGCCTGGGGACAATGGCAGTTCCCTCATGGAGGCCTGTTTCTCCCAGTCAGCAGGAGTTTGTCTCTCTGACTTTCACCTCTACAAGCAGCTGAAGAAAACTGTCTGCTTTTAATGGGCTCATTTGATTAAGTTAGGATCATGAGGGCAATCTATCTGAAGATCAACTGTGCCATATAGTGTTAACCTAACCACTGGGGTGAAATCCATCCAATTCATAGTCCCAGGGATTACACAGGACATGCATAGAAGGGGCTTGGGAAATCCTGGGCACACTTAGCAGCAGAATACTCCATTTATCTGAGCTGTAGTGTCAATAATAACAACAGAATTTTTTCCTTCCAAGAGATGATGCTTTCCAGGTGTTTAAAAGACCCTTCCCTTGACTTCTTAGGCGCCACTGTTTGCTTGCTGTCTTCTAACTCTCTAGAGATTGCTCCATATTCCAACCTCCAAATACTGAAGTACCTCAGGATACTAACCTCATCTTTTCATCTAAACTGCCCTAGAGATCTCAGCCAATCCCAGGTTTTGAGATAGCATCTGTAGATGTGGTTCCCTAAGTTAGGGCTCAGACATTTCCCCTAAATGCTTGACTTGCATACCTAATTTCCTCATCAGTATCTCCACTTGCTCTTCAGTAGGAATGTTAAGCTTTGCATTTATATAAATAAACTTGATTCTAACACTTCTCCAAAGTGTTCCTAAGTCCTCTTCATCTTAGAAACTGGCAACTCCCCTATTCTACCAATTTTTCAGGCCAAAAGTCTTGGCGTCTCCTTTAACTCCTTTTTCTGTCACATACACGAGATCCAATCATCAACAAAGCTGTTGGTTTTGCCTTCAAAATCTATGGGGGAAAGAGTTTAGGGGTGTAATAGTGGTAGAGCGTTTGTCGAGAAACAGCAAAGCTCTAGGTTTGATTCTCCAGCACCACAAAAATATGTGTGTGTGTACGTGCGTGTGTGCGTTTGCATGTGCATGTGTTACACAGAATCAGAGAGTGGTTTACCTTCACTTCTAGCAAAGCACCATCACACCTTGCCTGGGTTTTTGCAGTAGACATTTAACTACTCTAATTGCATCCACCATTATCTACCCTCCCTTCCCATTCTAATCTACTCTTTGCGTAACAACTATGATGATTCTTTCAAAACAGGAACTATATCGTGCCACGCCCCTATTTAAATACTCCAGTTACTTCTCATCTGACTTATGGGAAATGCAAATATACTTCATGATCTCCTCTCACTTTCTACTCTGCTGCTATCCCCACCTGAGTGCACTCGCTACACTTTACTATCACACCCTTCACAATCCCCCTGTACACACCTGCACACCGGGCCTTTGCATTTGCTTTTCCCTTGCTTTTCTTCCAGAGTCTCAGAAGGCTCACTTCCATGCATTTTCTTTATTTAAATAACACTTTTTCAGAGAGAATTTCCTTGACAGCCTTCTAGACCAAACCACCCCAAATATTATCTCCCATCCCCTGCTTTTCCTTTCCTCACAGCATATCACTTCCTGTCAGTAGGGTTTGTATGTGTTAATTTCTTATCACTGTATTTAAGAGTAGACTCCATGACTAACAGAACTCAATCCACTGCTGCATCACAGAGTCTTGACTAATAGTGTCAGGAATACAATAAGCACTCAGAGAACAGTTGCTGAATGAGTTAAAGATATCCATTCAGCCATCACACACAGATTTTCTTCTTAGGGTGGTTTCTATTAAAAAATTCTATGGTAGAAAGAAGGTTTAGAATAACATTGTAACTCTTTAAAGTGCTAGTAAGTTCAACTTTTACAATATCAAGGTGAGAAGAGAGGTTGTCCTTCATGGAACAAAGATTTTATTTGAATCTATTTCTCTCATATCAACGGCTATTGAGTAAGTTTGGGGCAAGAATAGTTAGCACTGATGGAGATCAGAAGATATTTTCTTCCCTGCCACTTATTTCTACAAGGGTGAACTAGATATCCACTTCCATGTCTTTATTCCTATGGATCTTTTCTCCCCTCGAGTTCTCAAACTCCTATGCATCCTTCAAAAAACATCTGAAATGCCATTCACATCACCAAATATTTCCTAATACGCCCATTCCTGCTGTGCTGGTTGTCTTAGTTGCTTTTCTCATTGCTGAGACAAACTACGTGACACCCAAAGTTAAATGCAAAAACAGTTGAGATTTCAGTTCATAGTTGACTGACTGCAAGAAAGGGTAGCACTGCAGAGGGACATCACAGAAGAGAACGCAGCAAACCAGCAAAGTAGCAAAGCAGGAAGCCAAGCCACCTTCTTTCTGTCTATGTCTTATCCAGGTTACACACCCACAGAGTGGGTAGCATTCACACCCAAGGTGGGGTAGCATTAAAACGCATCCCACCATGAAGCTATCACAGCATCACATCCCAGATCCCAGCATCACAAACCCCAGATCCAGCCACTCCCAAAAAACCCCACCTATGACCACAGGAGGCTTTGGGGGGACATCTAGATGCAAGCCGTAACATTAGACTTTGTCTTAGATCTCCCAGAGTGCTCTAATATGGCAAACCCTGGGTAGTTTTTAACCCCCCTCGTTTTCCATGCTTTCCAAACTCAAAAGGAAAAGGATTGTCTTATCTTTCTATCTTCCACACCCCTCAGTAACCAATCTCATCCGAAGAAGATGCTTACATATATTCATGAAATGGAATTGGATTGATTCAAATTTATTTGGGAAAGTAGGTGTTTAGCAAGTGGATTGCTGTATTTCATTTTCAAGTGGCTTGGTAACTCAAACTCGGTTTTTGGAGCTTCTCTGAAGGCCAGCCCAATGGCCTAAGAGTGCAGTTACATTGTCTGCCTCACTTAGTGAAATCTCCAAGCCAACTAAGGATTCTAGCATTTTGCTAAACTTGAAGAGAAAATTAACAATTGGTCAGAAGAGGAATCCTCCTTATAAGTAGATCTAACTCTACATTATTTTCCATTTTGTGTTTGTTAGCTATACTTCCAAAAAATGTACTTTTAAAAATCTTGATGAACTGCAACTTCTTTTCCATTCAAGTGGAATAACACAGTTCACCATGCACTAGCCATGTCTCCTGCTAAAGCTCCTGTTGGAATATATGGAAGGGCTACTTCCCTTTACATCCTTTGATTTGTTCTTTCTGCATCCTATAATTTCCATCCACACCAGAGAGCCAAGTGCTGTGTGGGGCTAATTAAACACTATAATTATCCATGAGCTATGGCCCAGAAGTAGAAAGAAAATCTAACACATGTCTGATTGTAATATCAGGTAAATACTCAAGATGTGTGACTGGTGAAATGCAAAATATTCTATTCATTTAATATTCTTGATGAATAGCGAATTAGTCTAATCACATTAGCTATTCTAGTCATTTATTAGGTGAGAGTGATTAGGAGTGAATAGCTGCAGAAAA